GACAAAATTGAAATACTAAGTTTATGCCTATAGTTGTTTATGACTTTGTTGGAAGCAACTCAACTTACTTTTTTTTTTAAACTTCTGATGTCAACAGGAATAGAGATAGCATCAGATTGTAAAAAGAAATTTATTTGGTTCTTCATTTCAAAGAAGCATGAATGTCTATTGAATTTTGAACTGAGCTGCTTGTTTTTCAGGCTAGAGAGAGAGAGACATCTCAGGAGTTTTATTCAACTCTGTGCCATTAGTACTAAAAGGAAAATACTTTTTTTAATGAAAGGCCATATTTTTACACAAAATATTCAGCAAACTATTCTTACCAGTGACTGTCATGTAGTTATTTCATATACAGTATGTAGAGACCTCTCTGTCCATATCATGAACAGTGTGTGTATGTGCTTAGTCGCTCAGTTGTGTCCGACTCTGCAACCCTAGGGACTGTAGCCCACAAGGCTTCTCTGTCCATGGGGATTCTCCAGGAAAGAATATTGGAGTGGGCTGCCATCTCTCCTCCAGGGGATCTTCCCAATCTATGGATCAAACCCAGGACTCTCGCATTGCAGGCGGATTCTTTACTGACTAAACCACCAGGGAAGCCATGAATACTGGAGTGGATAGCCTATCCCTTCTCCAGGGGATCTTCCTGACCCAGGAATCAAACTGGGGCCTCCTGCAATGCAGGCTGATTTTTTACCAGCTGAGGTACCAGAGAAGCCCCTATATATGAACCCCACCCCACCCCCGCAACAGAGACACAGTGGATAGAATTTCTTCTCAATCATATATATAAGTTACAAATATTTTCTATCAGATACTTATTGATTATGCTTTTTGATTGGCATAGATGTTTGGAATTTTTATAAATTCCAATTAACAATGTTTCATTTCATAGTTCATACATTCTCTGTCCTCTCTAAGAAATCTAGTCTATATACTCCTTGCTTTCTTCTATTGTCTTACTGATTTTAAGTTTAGGCCTAATGGTTCATCACAAATTGATTTTTGTGTAACCCATGATAAGAGCCAAGAGTGGCAGCAAGTGCTGCTGCTTTTTCTTTTTCCTTTTCCCCTTCTACCTCCTCCTCCTCCACCTCCCTTTCCTCCACCACTATGAAAAACCTACACTTAAGAATTGGTGAGTTATGATTCCTTCTCCTGAGGATAAAGTATCTACATGAATTACTTGAAGTTCTCCATGGGAGATTTGCTTATTCTCCTCCATTTTAAAATTAATGCAGTTATTTATTTATCAGTATGGACTCATAGTTATTTTATATATTTGTTTATAATCCTATACTACTTGATTTATTTTGTTATTCATATTGTTTTAACTAATGAGAGAAGAGGGCAAAATATTTGACAATTCTGTGTTTCAAAGTCTTTAAGGGTTAACTTTTAAACTCACAATAAAATATAGAGAAGAAAATAAAATTTTTTTAAAAAAGATAAACAATTTACTAGATTGCCAAAAAAAATAGTAACAATGGATTTAAATGAAACAGAATTCTGTGTAAACGATTAAATCTAAAAATGTATTAATACAGCACTTAGCATCTAGGGGCTAAGTTCAATCATGCCTCTTTATGTAATAATCAGAATTTGTTTAAGCATAAATTCTTCAGATAAATATTATATATAAAAATAACATACTTGAAATGAGGAAGAAAAATAACTGCCTCTGCTTTCAGAATCTAAATTCTTACATTCAAAATCAAGTTCAAAACATCAGACTTAAATTAAGGTCTTAACTCCTTGAACTAAGAATATTTAATTCAACATAGACTTTTATGAATGGTTGACGGAAACACCAACAAGGAAAAAGCAACATATCATTAATATAATAGCTAAAGCAAAAAATATTTCATTCTGTGGGACAATAAAACATGAGACACAATAAAAACATGTTTGTTTTTATATTCTAAAAACTCTATTGTTTACATTGAATTGTGGACACAATGCAGATAAACTAATTTAAGTTGTATGTAAAAGTCTGGGCTGCTTAAAAGGTCTAAAAGTAAATCAACAGAAGATGTGTGCTATGTGCTAAGTTGCTTCAGTCATGTCTGACTCTGAGACCCTACGGACTGTAGCCCTCCAGGCTCCTCTGTCCATAGGATTCTACAGGCAAGAATACTTGAGTGGGCTGCCACTTCCTTCTCTGATGGATCTTTCCAACCAAGGGATCAAACCTAGGCTTCTTATGTCTGCTACATTGGCCGGTGAGTTTTTTACCACAAGCTCCACCTTTCATAAGTGTTCTAAGACATTCTATGTGACATGAATGGATGTGTGAGGTACTGTGTTAAAATGAAAAACTTATTCACTTAAAAGTGCTTTAGATTATATGCAAGAAGTTATGATAAATAACCCCTTTGTTCAATGAGAAGCTCACAATATAAAGCAGAAATATTTAGGAGAAAAAATAGCATTACATTTAGCAGTAAGTTGAGTAAAGCCAAGTTTTTGTGCATTGTTTGCTTTTTATACATTGTCAGAACACAAACTTTAAATGTAACTTTGAATTTGAAGAACCACTATACTATTGCTATGGAATTCAATCACTCACAGAGATATAACATAACATATGACATACAGAAACAGCATTATTAGGGTAATTTTTGACTTAGGAATTTCTAAATCAGAGTCTTGTTCTTTTTCTTATATCTGGGGAAAAAGCTGTTAAAATTAGCCACATGGATTATTTCATTTTATAGGTTAAAATGTTAATGCTCAAAAAATTTTAATGATCTCTCCAGCTTTTCATAATAACAGAAACAGAAGAAAAACTCAAGACCTTTCCGTTACTCACATTGTCATTTTTCTATTCAAATGTAAGATAGATATTATAAAGAACTAGATCATTTATATATTTTAAAAACATAATGGTAACAAAAGTATTCTAAAGTTATCACAAGTATTCATAATCACTATGTATGGGAGGTGTCCACATTTTCCACTAGTTATTACAGAAAAAATAATAGCTTTTATTCCCATGCATATATACATGCACACAAAATATAAATAATTTGGTGATGCAGTCATATTAGGAGGAAATAGTGCTTCATGAAATTTATTAAAAATTATCTCAAAATATAGTTTTTAATGATATTTTAAAAATTCAGTTAACCTGCTTGTATAAGCTTAAGTACACAAACTTAAGGCAAAAGAACTAGAGATCAAGTTGGCAACATCTGTTGTATCATAGAAAAAGCGAGGGAATTTAAAAAAAAAAATGTACTTCTGCTTCATTAGGACTATGCTAAGACCTTTGATTGTGTGGATCACAATAAGCTGTGGGAAATTATTAAAGAGATGGGAATACTAGACCAACTTAACTGTCTCCTGAGAAACCTTTATGCAACACAAGAAGCAGCAGTTAGAGCTGGACATGGAAAAATGGACTGGCTCAAAATTAGGAAATGAATATGTCAAGGGTGTATATTGTGAGTCCACTTATTTAACTTATATGCAGAGTACATCATGCAAAATGCTGGGCTAGATGAAGCACAATCTGGAATCAAGATTGTTGGGAGAAATATCAATAACCTCAGATATGCAGATTGATACCATTCTAATGGCAGAAAGCAAGAGGAACTAAAGAACTTCTTGATTAAAGTGAAAGAGGAGAGTGAAAAACTGGCTTAAAACTCAACATTCAAAACGCTAATATCATGGCATCCAGTCCCAGCACTTCATGGCCAATAGAAGGGGAAGAAAAGGAAACAGTGACAGATTTTATTTTATTTGGCTTGACAGTAACTGTGGATGGTGACTGCAGTCACAAAATTAAAAGACATTTGTTCCTTGGAAGAAAGAGATGACAGACTTACAAACTGTATTAAAAAGTAGAGACATCACTTTGCTAACAAAGTTAGTCATATAGTCAAAAGTCAAAGTCATATAGTTAAAGCTGTGGTTTTTTTGGTAGTCATGTACAGATGTGAGAGATAGACCACAAAGAAGGATGAGCACTGAAGAATTGATGCTTTCAAATTACAGTGCTGGAGAAGACTCTTGAGAGTCCCTTGGACAGCAAGGAGATCAAACCAGTCAATCCTAAAGGACACCAACCCTGAATATTCATTGGAAGGACTGATGCTGAAGCTAAAGCTCCAATACTTTGGCCACCTGATATGAAGAGCTGACTCATTTGAAAAGACCCTGATTCTGGGAAAGATTGAGGGCAGGAGCAAAAGGGAGCAACAGAGGATGAGATGGTTGGGTGGCATCACCAATTCAATGAACATGAACTTGTGCAAACTCTGGGAGATAGTAAAGGACAGGGAAGCCTGGCGTGCTGCAGTCCACAGGGTCATAAAGAGTTGGACACATCCTAGTGACTGAAAAACAACAATAAGCTTGAGTAAGATTCCTTGAAAGTATATTAATAAAATATTAGATAGAACCATTAAACTTGTGTAATAGAGTCTATTCTGTATTCTGGACTTATACAATTTTAGAATGTAACAAGAAGTTATAAAAATCTTAAATATAGATTCTACACATTTTTGAAAGGGCATTCAATAACTCTCTATTAACGGCACACTGTCTTCAGTGTGACATACTTAAAAAATATTATCTAATAAGGCACTTATATAAGTTCATTTCAGATGAATTTGTAGACATCTGTAAAAGATTATAGATAGATGCTCTTAATTCTTGAACACAGAAACTTTCTTAAACTCAAAGGACATACAAATCCTTAAAAATAAGAAAGTCATGACTTATAAAAGTGAGTTATTCAAAATTATATACTATATTAAGTTCAGAGGAAATGATATCAGTTATTTCTACTAATATATATTAATAAATATCTGTCTTCCTCTTTTAATCATGTTTTATTTCATACATCTCTGGTCTCTTTCACTTCTTCAAAAGAAAAATGTAAAACAATGCACACTGACAGATCTAATAGTTTAATCAAATTTTATAAAAGCTTGGGGAATATTTAGAATTTTACATGAGTTTGATTTTAAAGAGGTGTTTTGCATTTGCAGTCTACGGAGTTCTGGATTTCTCTCTAATACATCAAGGCAGAAGAACAAACATCTGTCATCTAACTGCGTAAGATGAACAGAAGTATCTTGCAACATCACTCATAGGAACTACTAGATGTACAATACAATGATCAAGTTGAAAATATATGGAATTTACTTTCCTGAAAAGGAAATGCCTTTCATTATATGCAAAATATCAGCTTGATAAATGATGCTGGTTATTTTAATAAAACATTTTCATATACCAGAGGGAAGAAAACCAAAGCTCAGTTGTTAAATTATTTATATTATGGTCAGAATGCAAGTTGGTTGGCTTATAAATATCTTTAAAATCAAATGAAAGAACAAGAAATCATCCTTACCACCAATTTGACTTGTCCAGGTCTTGTAAAATGCCCTGGGAGGGGTGTGTGTGTGTGTAACTAATTTTGTTTTTTCATTGATTTTTCTTCAATTTGTCATCTTCTTGATCATGAAACTGACTTTACTTATTCGGGGTTGTGGCCCTCAGCCTACCCACTTCTGTGTATCTTTTAGTATCTCAGAATAAAGGAAGGAATAAAAAACAACTTATCAAACTATTTTCAGCTAGCGTACTGATTCAACAATGTGATACTGAAGCACAGGGCTTCCCTGGTGGCTCAGGTGTAAAGAAATCTGCCTGCTAATGCAAGAGATGCAGGTGCAATCCCTGGGTCAGGAAGATCCCTTGGTGAAGGAAATGGAAACCCACTCCAATATTCTTGCCAAGGAAATCCTACGAACAGAGAAGCCTGGTGGGCTATAGTCCATGGGGTCTCAAAGAGTCAGACATGACTTAGCAACTAAAACCACCAGCCCCACTGAAGCATAAGGCATCCAATAGTTATTGGTGGTGATAATGAATAAGGTTACAGAAATGAGTAGGTAGCTAGATTCTGAGGTACAGTGTTCAAGAGACAGCAGCACAGTGGTTACAAATAGTGTCTGTTGTCTTTATTTTTATTAGTTACCAGTTCTGTGGGTGTGAAAGTTAACTATAAGGATACCAGCAATGAGAAGAGCACCAGTAACTTTTATCTCTCATTATTCATTACAGCATTAGGTCTTGAAATATGTTGTTTAGTTTTTAACTTCACTTACTTCCAATTCTCCCTCTTCCCAAGATTTTCAGCACATGATTTCATCTATTAGTATATTTTTCAGTTAAAAATGACTGGTGCTAAACTATGACAAATTACATCAATAAACCTGGATAGTATAAATGAGTCTTTATAAGACTAAATCTAAAGTAAGTCTCTCCCAACATACTTTTTGCTAGAAAGAAACACACCATTGAAATTCTCATTGGATCATTACAATAAAAAATAAAGCAATTAATTATCCTATTATCTTCAAATTATAATTAGGAAATATTCTAACTCATATTGGGCTTCCTTGGTGGCTCAGACTGTAAGGATTTGCCTGCAACGCAGAAGACCCGGATTCCATCCCTGGTCAGGAAGATCCTCTTGAGAAGGGCATGGCAACCCACTCCAGTATCCTTGACTGTAGAATTTCATGGACAGAGGAGTCTGGCAGGCTTTGCACAATCAGACAAAACTGAGTGACTAACACTTTCACTTCCTAACCCATTATGTTATAGAACTTCATATGTTATGAATTTTCTATTTCATAACCTTTGAGCCAAGTTTGGTTTTACAAAATCAGAAGTATTAAAAAAAAACTCCATCCCCTTTATCCCTTGGGACCTACAATTAAGAAATGGAAAGAAAAAAAAAAACAAAACACTAATTTCTCAGCCATCCTTGAGAGTTAGATAGCCCTGTGAGTTTTAATGAATGAAGTACAAGGACAAATCAGCAAATTTTCTAGGAAACTTATGTGAAATTTATTACTGATTAAAAAAAAAAAAACTGCAATGGAATATCTCACTGGCAGTTCCTTTCCTATTCTTTCTTTATTGAATGGTAACATGACGTATAGAACTGTTAAAGTCACATTTTATCCACAGGCAACAAGCACAATAAACTAAAGCCAAAACACAAAGTGAAAAGACAGAAAGAGAACACAAACTTAATAATATCAATGAACTACTGAAACAATCTTTCAACTTCCTATCTTCAGATTTTTCATTAAATAATGGGTCATCTTGTGGTTTAGGACACTGATTATCAAAGTCTTCTGTTGAGATGGCTTAATGTATCACTTTCTAGTTTTGTGAACTCAGGCCTTAAAATTGAGATGTAGTTCCAAAGATGTGCTGGCTTACATTTAAGTAAAACTGAAATTATACAAAGAGAATATCACATTAAGCAAATAAAACTTTTAGACTCAATTTTTCAAAATAGCTAAGTTCCTTATGTGTTTATACAATTTTGAGGCCAGAAATAGCATTTATTTTTGTCTTTCTAGATTTGCAGATAAACATTGGAAGAAGGCCCCTGACCTTAATAATTGAAAAGAATTTGTGAAATTAATCATGATGAGTGTCATAAACTATACCAGAACATTATATGGAAAAAATACCACTTCAATAACTTTAAAGAACTAAAGCCTACCTTACAGGCTATGTTGAATTCTTAATGTCAATGTCCAGGAATTCTAATTATTCACCCAGTTCCATCTTGTATCTAATTACACAAAATTTCTTCAGCATTATGTTGCTGGATTAACTACTATTCAAACATTCAAGCAAAAATTATTTCTTCTTAAGTAGGAAAAGTATGTGAAGGTTAATAAACTAGTTGAAGCTTTTTTCCTAAAATACAAATATAAAAAAGTTTAAAATTTTTGAATATTTCAACTTTGGGTACTGTTTTGTAAGAGATTCTTAAATGACTGACAACTGCTGTCAGTCTTAAGGCACTTGTGATAGCTTAAGTGCTTCACTTGGCCAAGATGATTGAGGCTTTTTAACTTGAAATATTGAGACTCACTAAATAAAGCAAACATTTTGATTGTAACATTTAACATGAGCATAACTATATTTTTATGGTTGTGCTTACCTACAGTCTATCCACCCATCTTGCATATATTGTTATAAAATATATATTTTTGGCTCTAATCCTATTTTCCTGGGACTCAACTAGGTTCTAGCCACTCAGTATATAATAGCAGACAGAAATACAGGTCTAGTTCACATGGGATTATTCTAAATGAATCATTTAATTGCTTCAAGGTTGCTATAGTAATTACAGTAATAGCTTGATCACTCTCTTCAATATACCAACATTTTCTTCTTGGAATTTTGGTTATTTTGTTATTTTTAAATTTACTGCTACTTTTATCTTTTTATTTTGATATTTCCTTCCTAAGTTAAATAACAATAAAATTAGCTAAAATTAACACTTTTTTTCTGGGCCTATTCTTCCAGTGAAAGGCATTTTTAGAAATTATCTTTCTAAGTGGGAATCATTTTACCTGTCTGGTTGAATGGTGATTGGTAGCCAAACACTCTTTTATCTATGGCTTTCTTACAATCAAAATCTTCCTATAACCATGAGGATACTCTAAATTATGAGGGCCCTATTTTAATATAGAACAACAACAACAAACAATAAATAATTAACAGAAACAAAAAAGACCATAATGAGCAAACAATATGCAGGAAGCAAAAATATTTTTTTATGTTGCTAGAAGACGCTCTTTCTATAAGACCCGTGAACAGAAAGCAGATTTAAATAATGAGTCCCTGTACTATTGGGAAGGAACATTAAGGTTTGATGTTGAGTCCTTCACAAGAGGGCTCTTGATACAATCCTACAAACTGGCAAAAATTACTTTGATGATTATTCAAGTTTTGTTTGTTTGCTTGCTTGCTTGTTTGATGAAGAGCACTATTCATTATGTCTGAAATCCCTTATACCATCCTAAACTATCTGAAGAATAGAGGCAAAAAAGGTAAGGTTTGAAGCCTATTGGAACGGCAGCATATTGTATCAAGCCATCCTGGAACACAAGGTGCTGACAATATTCCTCTGGCCTGCTTCTAATCTTAAGCTACTGACCAAAACCTAGGAAGAATAAGCAGACTCACTTTTTCATTTCTAAGAGACAAAATGCAAAAAGCAACATATGTTCCTGTTCACAGTAACACAATAGTCTCATTTAGGTTATTAATATTGAAAATACTCAGAGTAAGTTAAACCATTAATTACTGTGACAGCATTTATTCTCCCAGTGGCTTATATATGATTAATTGTAACATATGTTACATTGTTTACATAAAAAAAAAAGCAAAGGAAGAAATCAGTGAAGAAGACAGCAATTTTTCTGGAGATGTGATGAAAAGCACACCTGTACTATTTCCATTTGTCTCTTTTTACTCTAGCTTCTTTCTTATGTCTTAATTTATGTATCAGGAAGGTTTAAAAAGATTTTCAACTGCTTCTGCTTTGAAACATAACTTACATTTTAGCTAGTAAAATTTTGACATCTGCATGCCAAAAACGCAGAAAAAAACATGTTGAATGCAGGGGTCAGTTCAAATCTCAAAGGCAGCACATTCATCTAAAAAATCAATTAAGGGGCAACATTTTGCTTTAAACATAAAGCTTTGTTCAAAGGCTTTAATGGATGATAATTTGTGTGCACCCTTTTAAATAACACTACAGAGTGTATTTAGCACATGATTTAGTTTTTTAAAGTCTATCTATGAATCATTATTTATAGGAAAATATTAGGATAAGGTGCAAGTTGAGGAAATAGAAAAAGCATATGCATATCAATCTACAAGCTGTAGTGTATAATAATATCAATATCCTGCATTTATCCAACTACTAGCTTTTAAAGGCAACTTCAGACTTTTGTAAGTTGTACATGGAAAGTGAAAGTGAAGTCTCTCAGTCTTGTCCGACTCTTTGCCACCCCATGGACTATAGCCTACCAAGCTCCTCTGTCCATGGAATTTTCCAGGCAAGAGTACTGAAGTGGGTTGCCATTTCCTTCTCCAGAGGATCTTCCCGACCCAGGGATAGAACACGGGTCTGCCTAATTGCAGGCAAACGCTTTACCATTTGAGCCACCTCTCAATTGAAAATGGCTCCTCTTTTCATTGAGATCTATTTTACATGTGATGTTTACAAAATAAGGAGCTATGGCAAAACTTACGGGTGAAGGAGTGCTTTTGTATAATTTTCATAGGACTTTTGTGTCTCTAAACACATATCCTGTGATTAAACTAATGGGCAAACAATGAGGTTACTGACCTATTTTGGCAGATTTTAAGTTGCTTCCTTCTGACTGCTAATTGCATCTGGTGAATACTGGAAAAGAAAC